AAAAGGGCCCAGGGACCCCCACTGCCACCACAAGCAGCACAGCGGGACTAAGCAACTTCCTGCATGTGCAGCTGCCAACATGTCCCTGCAGTCCCGAGATGGGGATGTCTCCATGCTCTGCCCCCATCACAAGCGCCCCTGCAGCCAATGGGAGCTCTGGGGGGTGGTGCTTGTGGGAAGCAGTGCGTGGAAACCCCCGGCCTGTCTCCTTACTCCAGCCCAGAGCCTGCACCCCGCACCCGTGTGCCCTGCAAGCTGAGCGCTTGGGTGGCCACCCAGGAAGAATTCCAATGCCGCCCACAGCCAGCAGCAGGTGTTCTTACTGGTGGTGCACCTCCGCAAATGCCTTGATGCACATAACAAAATGTATTCCACATATGGCTGGAAAAAATTAGAAGGAACGTTGCCCGGCACCCAGACGCCCTCCCAGAATCTACAACCTCCCCCCTCTTGCACCTCCGCCCCCTGACCCAGCCCAGAGCCAGCACTCCAACTCCATCCCACAGCCTGTACCCCAGACCTTCTCCCTGACCCATCCTTTCTCCCACCTCAAACTCCCAGAGCCTTAGGCAGGTAAGGGAGGGTGCAGATTCCGGGAACCACCCACATTTCTAAAAAAAACCCGCCACCCTTTCCCATATCCTCATTATCATTTGCTTTGGTCTTCTTTGAACCTCCACATTCAGCCTAATCACAGGCTAGACATGATTATTAAAATCGTTATGATCCTCGTAGCGTCTGTGTGTTCACAAAGCCTTCCACAGTAGGTGAGCCATGCCAAACAGATACCGTGCGGGAACCACCCACATTTCTAAAAAAAACCCGCCACCCTTTCCCATATCCTCATTATCATTTGCTTTGGTCTTCTTTGAACCTCCACATTCAGCCTAATCACAGGCTAGACATGATTATTAAAATCGTTATGATCCTCGTAGCGTCTGTGTGTTCACAAAGCCTTCCACAGTAGGTGAGCCATGCCAAACAGATACCGTGTCCCTGCCCGGAGCTAAACATTGGCAGAAGCACATACTTGGAGTGTAAGTAATATCCGGTACTTAGTCACTTGTGTATAATCCTACAAGCATTACGGCTGCTGCAGCCTTCTTTCTTCTCGTGTTGTTGAAGCACCCAAGATGTAACATCTAACAAATTTGGACCAGTAGGCGTCTGCTGCTACGTTCCTGTCCCAAAGTCTGTTTCCCTCATAGGAATCATTTATAGGAAATGCAGTGTTGCTCCTTCTGGAGGTCTATCATCAAATCACTGATGCGTGTAAATCATTAAAAATGTGTCTACACAGCAAAGTTATTTCAAAATAATTTCGAAATAACTGACGGCTTATTCCGACTTCTGTAAACCTCATTCTACAAAGAACAACACCTATTCCGAAATAGTTATTTCAGAATAGGGGCTGTGTAGGGGTGTGTCTAGACTACATGCCTCCTTCGACGGAGGCATGTAGATTAGCCAGATCGGGAGAGGGGAAAGAAGCCGCGGTTAAAAAATCTAGAGATGAAGACTTGGACTGGAAGGGAAAGAAAATAGGAGCTTGGAAAAGAAGGTCAGGGTGGGTACATCTGCACTGCACAGTTATTTCGAGATAACTAGCATTATTTTGAAATAACAATGCGAGCATCTACGCAACCATTCCATTATTTCGAAATAACAGACAGCTTATTTTGAAATCTGTAAACTTCATTCTGTGCAGAATAATGCCTATTCTGAAACACTTATTTCAAAATAAGGTGTGTGCAGACACTCCACTGCTCCTATTTTGAAATAGAATGGCCCTGCTGAGGGGCTAAGTTTTTCCTCCCCAGTGCCTCCTGGGGCTCTAAATCGAAATAGCACGTCTACATTAGGGAAGCCAGCCTCAGACTAATTTTGAGGCTTCCTTGCAGTGTAGACGTGTTATTTTGAAATAAGCTATTTCAGAATAACTATTCCGGAATAGTTTATTCTGAAATAAATGTGAAGCGTAGACATAGCCTATGGGTGTGTCTACCTGAAAGAGTTCTTTTGGAAAAAGGATTATAGCCCATGGGTGTATCTACACTACACCGTAACTCAGAATAAGATACGCAATTTGAGCTGAGCAGATTGCGTCTCTTAGTTAGATGCTATTTTGAAAAAGCTTATTTGATTGCGTCTCTTAGTTCGATGCTATTTTGAAAAAGCTTATTTTGCCATTTGGCCAGATTTTGAAATAAAGCGCTATTCCGAAATGTCCCTTACTCCTCATAGAAGGAGGTTTACAGGGATATCGGATTAGCGAACCCAAAGTAACAGGCTTGCAGGGAAGACCTGGGAGAGCTATTTCTGGATACTCTGGAAGTCTGAAATAGCATTTTGGTGTAGACGTAACCTAAATTGCCATCATTTGAGTCTGGGCACATATTTCTTTTATGCCTGTTACCTATACTCAGTTATGCCCTCTGTGTTCAGCTCTTGGCCATAGGGCAATCTGTAACAGAGAAAAGCAGACAAGAGACATTGGATTTTTTTAACAAGCGTGTCCTACCTTGCTCCTCAGATCTTCAATTGTCCTGTAATGGGGGCTGTGGTCACGGTCAGGACCAGGTCCCTGCTTCTTATACCACGCCTCGATCTTAATCTCCAGATCGGAATTGGCCTCCTCCAGGGCACGCACCTTGTCCAGGTAGGTAGCCAGGCGGTCGTTCAGGTTCTGCATCGTTTCCTTTTCACCCGCAGGGAGGATGCCATCACCACCACCAAAGCTACCACCAAATCCACACACAAAGCCAACTCCAAGCCCACCCCCATAGCCACCTCCAAAGCTACTACTGTAGCTCCCCCCATAGCTACCACCCATGCTGCTTCTTACCCCAGAGACATACCTAGAAGAGGAGACAGAAAAACTGCTAGATCCCCCTTTGATACTTGGGGCTCTGTACGGACCACCAAGATGCACGGAGGAAACCCGTGTGGAGCCACCTCCTAATCCACCTAAGCCCCCTACGCTCTTGAGGGATGTGGATGAGGAGTACTGCCTGATGCTGGTGGCCATGGTGAAAGGCAGTGGAGGATCAAAAGCCCAAAACAGTCACCCAGCTGAGCTACGAAAGGAGGAGAGTGCTGCTAACTTCCCCTGGCTCGGAGGCTCCTTTTATACCCGCAATGGGGGGGAGTTCCCACTGCAAGCTCCTTGTTTCTCTCATACATTCTCCAAGGTTTTCATAACCCGTAAAGTCTGTGCCAACTTCTAAAGTCAACATATTTTTTGCTTGCTTTTGTCACATTTCACTGGAAACACATTCTCTCCCCCTCCCCCCCCAGTGCTTGTCTGTGTCTTCTGGTTTCCATCTGCAATCAGGTGTTATTCAAAGCGGGAGGCTGTATTTGTACATTGCCTTACACTGCTGAATGGGAGAGAGGGCTGTTCAGACGTTTCCAGTGTATTTCTCTGGAACTCATCACATGTGGCTGGCCGCGCTGAACCCAAGTCCTCTGTGTAGCTACAGGACAGACACAATGGGCAGCAATGGGGCAGGCTTCCTCCACAACATCCCATGTTCACATTCCTTCCCCTCGTCCTGGAACAGCTCCCACTGCAGCCCCGTGGCAATTCCATACACTCAAGACTTGACCTTGAGACGGCCCGTAAGGGGCTCCACTAGTGTTGGATGGGGTCCTTGATTTTGTGTTGTCAACCTCTGCTACCGAGAGCGAGACTATGATCCACCCCAGACTATTAGATGGAAGAACTCGAGAAATTGTGGTGCTCTCCAGAGGGTAAAGACCAAAGCAAACAGTATGAATGGCCGGTAGACCAGTCACTGGATTCAAGAACTGGGGATAAAGAATAATGCTCAGAACACAGATCTTTATCATTAGTCTAATGAACCAGTTCATCAGATGTTATCAGAGATTTCTCTGTGGCTCCCTGCCCAGAGAGCTCAGTTTGAGTGTTATACACACCCATTATAACTCCAGCTGCTCATGAGATGCTAGCTGCCTGTAAGGAATTCAAAGGGCTCCGAAAAAATTGCAGGGTTAGCTAAGGTGGAGCTCAGCTGGCTCAAGTCTCAAATTTTAAAATGTTATTGAAGCCAATGTTTCAAAGCATGCGCATAATCCTCCGCTGAGAAAATGAGTCTCGGTACATCTAACCTCCCTACCAGACTGAAAACTCTCGGGCACAGACCGAAGGGGCACTGTGTGATAGTCTTCCCGGGGGTGGAGGAAAGCATCGTCTTCCACGTGTCGTAGCATGCCAGCCACTTTACTGTCTTCCTCGACAGGCCCTAACAATCCCCTTCCCCAAAGCTAGTAATGAGGTGCCTTAGATCAGCTGCCCACAAAAGAGGAAGGAGGCTATGGCCAGGGCCAGATTAAGAAAGGGCTTTAGGGGCTGGGCTAAGGGGGGCCTTGGGCTGCAGCCCCTATAGCCCCTGGCTGTGTCTAGACTGGCCAGTTTTTCCAGAAAATCAGCGGCTTTTCCGGAAAAACTTGCCAACTGTCTACACTGGCCGCTTGAATTTCCACAAGAACACTGACTTCCTACTGTCTGAAATCAGTGCTTCTTGCGGAAATACTATGCTGCTCCCGTTCGGGCAAAAGTCCTTTTGCACAAAAGGGCCAGTGTAGACAGCTCAGATTTGTTTTGCGCAAAAAAGCCCCGATGGCGAAAATGGCAATCGGGGCTTTTTTGCGGAAAAGCGCATCTAGATTGGCTACGGATGCTTTTCCGCAAAAAGTGCTTTTGCGGAAAAGCTTCCGTGCCAATCTAGATGCTCTTTTCCTCAAATGCTTTTAACGGAAAACTTTTCCGTTAAAAGCATTTGCGGAAAATCATGCCAGTCTAGACGTAGCCCCTGTGTTTTGGGCTATCTCTTCATGGGGGGGAGGAGGGAGGCAGCCCCGTGTTCGGCTGTTCTTCTCCCCACGACAGCCCTGGGCTGGAGCTACCTTGCTGTGAGCACCAGGAAGCTCTGCCTCAGAGGCCCCACCCCTTAGCTCTTATTGGCCTAGAATCACAGCCAATAAAAGCTTTGGGGGTGGTGCCTGCAGGCAAACACGGGGCAGTGTGGAGCCACCTGTCCCCCCCCACACACACCAAACAGAGGCAGCCTACCCTCTACCCAGCACTGAGCCCCCTCCCACACTAAGGGTGTGTCTAGACTACAGGGCTTTTTCCAAAAAAGTGGTCTTTTTTCGAAAAAACTTTCCCTGCATCTAGACTGCCGCCACGTTCTGTCAAAAGTAAATCAAAAGAACGCAGCAGTTCTTTTCACCGAGGAAAATCTCGTTTTACGAGGAATAACGCCTTTTTTCAAAAGTGCTCTTTCGAAAAAAGACACTATGTAAAAATGTGCTTTTTCGAAAGAGAACATCCAGCGTGCCGGGGTGCATCCAGAGCGCTCTCTTTCGAAAAAGCGGCTTACTTTTTCAGAGGTAGTCTAGACGCTCTTTTTCGAAAGAGGCTTGCAGTCTAGACATAGCCTAACTCCCTTCAGACCCCGTTCTCCCAGCCCTGCATTCTGACTCCTACCCAGACCCTGCCCTCCCAGCTCTGCCTCCTGCCCTGAGTCTGCTCCCAAACCCTAAACCTCTTGGCCCAGCCTGGAGTCCCCTCCTGTGCCCCAAATTCCTCATCCCCAGTCCCACCCCAGAGCCCCCACCTCCCCACAAAGCCTTCACCTCCTCCCACACCCACCCTCCTGCCTCAACCCACAGTTCCCTCCTGCACAATGAACCTCTTGTTTTGGCCCCGCCCTAGAGCCAAGGAGATCCCACAAAATGTAACAGCCCCAGGCCCCCAGAAGAGGCTCTGGCCAGGGCCGGATTAAGAAAGGGCTTTTAGGGCTGGGCTAAGGGAGGCTTCTGGGCTAATCTGACCCTAACCACGGTCCACAAGCAATAGATACATATTTCTGAACAGGCTTCGATTGCTCGGCTTCATCTCACCAGGCTGGAGCACTTTACAGGAAGGGAATGAAACTGATGGTGAAAATAGCCCTGGGCAGGGTCTTCGGAATATTTACGGCTATTACATTGCAGCTAATGCTAGAGAAATAATGGCACTGAAGCTCTCATGTGCTTATACTGTACTGAAGCAGCTTTGGACAAGCATCAGCTGAGACCGATCCCTTCTGGCCATAAAGTCTGTGACCTCTCAGGATGGTCGCATCCACAGGTACCATGTGAGCACAAAGCGGGTGTCAAATCCTACCATTGTAATGTGGTGGCAGCTTATACTCCCTTTGCCCGGGAGTAAGTAACAACACAAGAGGTGAGACGGGTGGAATTTTGAGATCCAGAGTCTCTCTCTCACTTGATGCCAGAAACATGGGGGGGAAAAACCCAGAAACTTCCTGCATCATCCCAGCTGAGAGCAGAGACCACCCAGAAAATGTGTAAGACCTAAAGGGCCATAGGCCTGCTTAACTGCATGACTGGCAGCTGCAGAGGGTAAGGATCACATAGAAAGCGATCCTATTAAACTTGTCACTGCCTGAATACACAGGAATTTTCCAGCCTGAACTTTCGCTGCGAACCACAGATCCAAAGAACCTTCATAGAGGCAATGGGTGAATTGTGCGATTAAAGCAATGGGTGGTTTCTTACCTGTGTCTTTCATGTGCGGCTGCTCCTGGGGCAGGCACATCTACAGCTAGAACAGAGCCAGAGTGGCTGGAAGCTTTGCCAATCCCCCTGCAGCACAAGTGCAGGGGCTGTGTAAGGGCAGGCAGGGACCATGCTTCCCCATCTAGATCGCTCCGGCTCCCATGTGTTGCTTTTGGAATGCTGCTGCAGCTGTAGCCAGCCTGAGAAAGGAATCGAAAACCATCCACTGAGGGCCCAGTCGACACAGCAGCGAATCTGAATCTGAACTTCTCCAGGTATATTTGAATTCGTTCTTCTAGCACAGCAGTTCCCAAACTTTTCGGCATCATGCCCCCTTTTTGATTTTTGAGACACCCTCTTGCCTCCCCGCCCCCTATAGCAGCAAAACTTGTTGAGCCAAAAAAAAACCTGACCAGGTCTGAAAAACAAAAATAGCAGCAAAACTTGGGGGGAGGGGGAGTTGATGGGGGGGGCACTGGGTCGCCTCACTCCACCCCGGAATTTCTTCATGTCCCCCCAGGGGGGCACGCCCCCCAGTTTGGGAACCCATGAAAGTGCTTTAATTGTTTGGTCGTCTCTTTCAGGAAAATCCGCCTACCGCTGCAGGGGTGCCTGTGTTTACAAGAGAAAAATCAAAACCTTCCTGCCGTCCGTTGAAGCCTGGAGCAGAGAGGACTCCAAAGACACGTGCCTTAGCTGCAAACTTGTTAGGAGAGGAATCTCGTCCATTGATTTTCCACCTGTAAAATGCCAGCGCTGCTATATAAACGCACCAGTTCAGTCCGTAACTGTGTGATCGGAACCCTGTGCATGGCTCATTTTTATAACATAGAGGCTGAGTGGAATAGGGTCATGTAAGTTGTGATATTCTGAACCAGAGAGAGAACAGAAAGGCTCTTTTCCCCTGTTCCAGGGAGAGCCAGAGCTCCTTAGCTATATCAGAGCTCAGCCAGGATTAATCAGGGCGAGGTCCCTGGAAATAGGAGGTTAAAGCAGGAAGCCCGGATTCCGCCAGCATCCCACATGTCCAATCATCTCTCACCCATGCTGATGCATGTGGAGCAAGGCACTAGCGGGAGGAAGGGGAGCAGAACCTCGCCAGGACTGAGGGTGGACGTTCTCTGCAATCAGGTTGCAGCACATGCAGCTATAGCGGACCTAGCTTTCACCTCACTAGCTCAGGCAGAGACATTCCCCTACTGTGGGCAGCTGCAGCTGGACGAGCTGGCTGAGGCTCTAGGCAATTACTAGCCCACGGCGCAGTCCATGCCACTGTGGTTTCCTAGCTGAAGACTGGAGCTAGCTCGGTGGAAATATCTCAGGCATATGCTGCAGTAACACCCCAGATTGCTGTGCAGACACACCCAGGGAGCTCAAATGCTCTGCCAGGAATGATGGGTCCTGCTGGTGGAGATGGAGTGTCTCGGTGCGCCACTGCATCTGGAATGGGCAGTGATGACAAGTGGACCCAGGGGATCAAACCCCGAACGTCATGTGGGCATATCCTGAGCAGGTCTCACACTCCCTGATGGCTGTCCAGGGGGCCTGCCTTTCTCTGACCCTGTGGAAACACCCGGCGAGTTGCCAGTAAAGTGGCACTGGATAACACTGGAATTGTATGTCCAATGAGATGGTCAGCCAGCGGTACCGTACACATCTGCAGCACCAGTTAATTTCACCACCAACCGGTGTTGCCTGTGTAACGCAGCCGGCACTAATACAGATGTGTGCGGGTGCCAGTTGGCGGGGATCTGGCAGGATGGTGTCTGTGATTCATTTTCTTTCACCTTGGCTCAGATCCAGTGAGAGGATGAAGCCCCATCTCTCACCTTCCTCTGTGTGGGAGCCACCTGGCTGTCGCACAGTCCTGCTCATCTCTGAGACAGCAGTCGGTCCCGGGTTTCACCTTTTGAAACCATTGCAGCTTAGGGCGGCACCTGACACCATTTATCCCGTTCACTTGTGGAACTCCAGCCAGGTTGGTGATGAGCAATAAAGCTGCTAGTTCTTTGCCTTACTATTTAGTCCTGGAGTGTTAATTCATGTCACTCGGGGTGTAGAGTGCAGTGCCTTGTAGGGCCCATCTGAACAATTCCTTCTTCTAGCTGCCCATCCTTGCTGACAGCACCCATCTCCCCCTATCAAGCCTCTGTCAGTCCCTAGAATGACCAGGCCGAGACTGTAGTTGCATGAATGAGAAGAAAAGCTTTATTTGACGTATGGGCAGAGCACAGGAGAGCACTCAGACAAGGGGGAGGGAGGCAGAGGCGGAATAAAAAAGGCAGGAACACACTCACGAAGCCCAGTCCTACACAACCTTGGCAACAGTGCTACACATCTACAGCTACAGCACATCAAGTGGACTCTTCTTTCCTTTCTGTGACAATCTTTATCTCAATGGGTCCGCAATGTTCAGGACTGGGCCTACGGCGCGGTGTGCAGCTTTAGCGGACGGTCTGATGGACCTGTTCGCGGGAAGAAATCACTTTTCCATCTTGGACTTCCTCAACGATCGTGCGGACTTGTCGGGTGGTCAGGGATGCTACAAGGGAGAGAAAGAGCAAGGAAACTATCACTTGGGGAGAAGCAGCAGTAAGTGTGTTCTTATTAGGCATCCTTCAGAATCTTAAGCAAGTGAGGACAGGCAGCAATGAATTTAGCAGTAATTTTAAAAGGAGTGAGTCCATGACTATAGCAATTAATTTCCCATTGAGCGAAACAGAACCGTCCAAGGCTGTATTGGACTGTGAAGGGGGGACGTGCTTCACACCAGATTTTGTAGGGAACAGGAATGAAAAGAAAGAGCTTATTGGGCAGAGCAGGTTGGAAAACGTTTTGTTTTTTTCACTGAAGACCTGAGAATTGAAAAGGTCTTGGCTGAAAATCAAAATAAGAAAGTTGCCTTGGAAAGCAGAATTTTTCTGTGAAAAATAAGAAGTTTGGTTTCTTTGTAAGGACTGGAATGGTGAGTGATTAGCCACGACTTTTTAGCCAAGACTTTTCCTACATTCAGGGCTAAGCTTCAAGTCACACAGTGGCTAACTGATCAGCTGTCCTAAGGATCTGATCTCCCTTGGGAGGTTTTATCTTAGCCAATTTAGCTGCAGAATTGAATGTCACAAAATCCATATCTGATTTTCCATTTTACACAAATATTTATCTTCATCTCATCCATATTTCAAAGGAATCATTCCAAGTCATTCCAATTTTGTGCCTAACAAATCAGAGCCTATGGAAAGAAGGTTGCCTAAAATGTGAGGCTGAAATGTGCTATCATGTCAGACAAGACAAATTCTTACCATCTCGTGCAGAGGCGTACTGGGATGCAATGCTGCAAAAGGAGAAAAAAGAGAGAAAATTAGAACTATATACACCGAAGGAGAGGGGGTGGTGCGATCAGAAAGGTACAGGCCACTAATGGGGAGAAATAATTATTCTGACATAAATCTGATGGATTTCATTATTATGTCAACTGGCATGTCCCCATTGTCCTCTCCTTGAAATTTTCCAGAGTTACGATTTAAGCAGAACATTTAATCTTGGAAGGGCTTTTAAGGTGGGAAGGGATTTAGAATCATGATCTTAGCCTCTCAACACTTCTGTGACGTTTGTTGTTGTTATTAACTACTTTCCCAGGGTCCGGCAATCGCTGAAGGGGTCATGAGTAGACCCCAAAAGTCCTGAAAGCTAGAGGTTTAACATAGCTAATAGACGATGCTACCTCTCCAAGTGTACAGTGGAAATGTTGTGTTACACTCCATAATTCAGACAATAAATACCTCCCAAGACATTGTTCACACTGAGGGTGGTAACAGGGGATAAATCATTGAGCTGGTCTTCAAGGCTACCTAGGAATCTTGACTATTTAGATCAAAATGAGCCTCTAAGAACACAGGCAAATCAACTGTTTAGCTGTGTCACCATCAGCAAGCCCCGCCCCATGGCACCCTCTCTAATCAACGCCCATTGCTTACTGGGCATCCTCGCCCTCCAGCAGGCGGCGGTATGTGGCGATCTCTTGCTCCAGGCGTGTCTTGACGTCCACGAGAATCTTGTACTCGTGGTTCTGGCGCTCCATGTCGCATCGCAGCTCAGCCAGCTGTTCCTCCACGCTAGTGATCAGGGCCTGGAGCTGGGCCAACTGGGTGCCGTAGCGGGCTTCTGTCTCTGCCAACGTGCCTTCCAGAGCGGCTTTCTGAGAATGGAGAACAGAGAGGAAAGAATTCAGTGAGAGGGTGGCTCATCTCCGTGCCTGCCCTTGGGTGTGTCTCCCTGGGAAGCCGGTGCCATGGCCCGTACCATGCTGAGCTGGGACTGCAGCTCTATCTCCAGACCCTGGATCGTGCGTCTGAGTTCCGTGATCTCTGACTTGCCGCTCTGCAGCTGTTCCGTGTTCATGGCTACTTCCCGGTTCAGCTCTTCAGTCTGGAACGAGGGGAAACCACTTAGTTACTGCACTCACTGCGTGTGCAAAGCCCTGCCACCGGCATCAGTACGTGGCAAGTGCTTTTCTTCACCTTGGTGTAGAACCACTGCTCGGCCTCTTTCCGGTTCTTCTCTGCCAAGCTCTCATACTGCTCTCTCATATCAGCCAGGATCTTGGTCAGGTCCACCCCAGGAGCCGCGTCCATCTCCACCGTGATCTCTCCACCCAGCTGGCTGCGTAGTATATTCATTTCCTGTGACAAGAGAGACATGTTGTGTTCATCTGCATCTCACCTGTGCAGGCTCCCTACAGTGCATCTAAGGAGGTTTTCCCACATTATGGCTTTTCCGACAAGCACTTATCTCTCACTGTGTGTCTGTTCAGCAACTTGAGGCTGTGACCCTAGCTGACACCTCTCTTAGGGTTGCCAGATGCTTCACAAAAAATCCCGAACATGGCAGGGAAAAAAATTGGTTGAGCAGAAAAAAAAAAGGGGGGGGAGACCAAACTTGTTAAGCAAAAAAAAAAAGAGGTTGCTGCACCTTTAAATTCCCCTGCTCCCCCCCCCACCACCCAAACACGGAAGGGGAAAAATGTCCCCACCAGCCTTCCGTCCAGTATTTTCTGTTTGTTTTTGTTTTTTTACTGGGCAGAAGACGTGATTACCAGACTATCCGGGAGAAAACCGGACACCTGGCAACCCTACCTCCTGCATGACAACAAGGAAAAATAATGAAAATAACATCGTAAGACATCTCCTTTGTGGATTCAGCTGCTCCTGTCCAGAGACTAACTCCCAGACAACAGGTGGCTTCACCACCCAAGAGGCAGGTTTCTGTTGCTGTGTGTTGACCTGGCCCCATGGAAGCTACTGAAATGATTAGTGGTGCGTGAGTCTGACCTACACAGGCCATGCTCCGTCCAGAATGAATTATTCCCCACTTCTTTATCCCCGGATGCCCTACTATTTAGAAATAGCCTTGCTGATTGGCCTGACTGTCCTTGTACCTTAGCTACAGCTTCTAACCCCCCTCCTTTGTGCCTGGGGTCCTCACCTCCTCGTGGTTCTTCTTGAGGTAAGCCAGCTCCTCCTTCAGGTTTTCAATCTGCATCTCCAGGTCGGCTCTGGCCAGGGTCAGCTCGTCCAGGACCCTGCGCAGGCCATTGATGTCCGCCTCCACGCTCATGCGCAGGGCCAGCTCCGTCTCATACCTTGAAGCACAAAACGGGAGCTGCTGAGCTGCTGCCCTTTTCCCCTCCCCAGCCTTTCAGTGTCTGCCAAGGCTCTGTGCTATGTGGCACCCGGTGAGGGAGGTGCAGTGTCCAATGCCCCAGTCATGTCTCTGCTAAGACCAGTAACTTTACCAGGCAGCTTTGGCCCGTGTTCTGTATCCAGCTCCATGCTGAGGGCTCTCCTCCCATTAGATTACTCTAGCTCTTTTGCCCCAGGCCTGTGTGTTCCGAGTGATGTAAATTAGATCAAGGGTTAGATCCTCCTGGAAGCAAGACATTTCCCAAGCACTGTCAGGCGTTTGGTCTCTTATTGCTGGGCAGAAGGCACATTTGTATGAAATGCCTTGCTTGCTAATGGGCTTGCCTGCCTGTCTCGGTTGTCTCATTGGTAATGAAGAGGAAGCTCCCATTGTAATAGGCAGCAGGTTTAAAACAAACAAAAGGACGTTTTTCTGAACTCAGCGCACAGTCAACCTGTGGAACTCCTTGCCAGAAGACGTGGTGGAGGCTAGAACTTTAACAGGGTTCAAAAAAGAGCTAGATAGATTCATGGAGGTTAGGTCCATCAATGGCTATTAGCCAGGATGGGGAGGAATGGTGTCCCTAGCCTCTGTTTCTCTGAAAGTGGGAGACAGGGGAGGGATCACCTGTTGTGATCCCTCCCTCTGGGGCATCTGATATTGGCCATTGTCAGCGGACAGAATACTGGGCTAGATGGACCTTTGTTCTGACCCAGGATGGCCATTCTTATGTTCTTGGAGAGGAACTCTCCCTCTTTTCCAGTCGTGGTGCATGTGAGGAAGCTGGACACGCACAAAGAGATCCCCATACGGATCCCGTTCCCAGGGGAGCAGCACTTACTTGGTTCTGAAGTCATCGGCCGTCAGCCTAGCATTGTCGATCTGCAGGAGGATCCTGGCATTGTCGACAGTGGCAGCAAGGATCTGGGGAAAGAGCAACAGAGCAAGTGGGAAAGAAGCCAACAGCCTGTGGCTGACTGTGGGATCCAAGCAGGGGAAAATGCTTGGAGAAGGTCAGGCACAGCACTGAACTCCCTGTAGAGATGTTTCAGAGGGGTGGCCAGGTTAGTCTGTGAGAGTGCATCTACAGAGCAGGACTTAACTCGAAATAAGCGACGCAAATTGAGCTACGTCAATTGCATCGCTTATTTCAAAACTGGGAGCGACTACACAGCAGTGATTTCGAAATAGAGCACTCCCTCCGACTTCCCTTCCTCCTCGTACATTGAGGAAGTCCTCCAACATTGTTTCAAAATAACTGCCCCTGCAGTGTAGACACAAAATAAGTTATTTCGAAATAATGCTAGTTAATTTGAAATAATGTTGCAGTGTAAATGTACCCTTAGAGACCATCAAAACATGTCGATGGTATCATGAGCTTTTGTGGGTACAGCCCACTTCTTCAGATGAATGGAATTTAATGGGGCCAAGGATTTTCTGCTATTTATTTGGAACTTGGACCCCTTAAACTCCATTCATCTAAAAAAGTGGGTTGTGGCTTTCGCTCGTAGCACCATTGACATGTTTAGTTAGCCTCTAAGGTGCTGCAGGACTATTCGTTTGTTTAAGTTTTTCCTGTAGAAAGGGATTTACCTCGCTGTACATGGAGAAGGGCAGCTCTACTGAGTTAGACTAAGCAGTCTCCCTTTCCTGCTTATCCCTCAGGATGAATTGCAAAAGGCAGCAGGATAACATCTCAGTATGTGCAAGACCTGATAAGGTCACTGACTGTGTCATACCTCCAGGCATTTGCTGATCCCACAGAGTTCAAGAAAGATCTGACCCTCTTCCCCTCCCTGCCCCACCCCATGTACTGCTGTGTGCAATTGCCATGCCAGGAATCCTGGGGGGAAGACGCACTAGTCATCCTCAGGAAACACCAGGTATCGGTGGCTGCCCCGAGCAATACTAGTAGTCGCACGTTGAGCTTGTGTATGGCAAAGCCTGTTCTGCAGTGAAGCTCATTCTCACTCGCTCCTAAGAGCAGGGTCCTTGCAGAAGATGAACAAAGTGTAGCGAGCAAGTGCTGATTATATGTGATTTTTGTGCTGCGTGCGCAGGCACAGAGAATCCACCCGATGGCTGCAAAGAGAGGAACTCCAAGCCAGGCACGTCAGAGAGGTGCCAGTGAGAGGAAGGGGAAAGAATGTGTCTGGTTTGCTCCTGCCCCTGCATTGCCGAGGCTGCTTCTGCTTCCCTCAGATTTCCCCTCTGTTTACTAATGACGGTTTGTAAACGAGCAGTAATGACAGAAGGGGAGGGAGAAAATCAACCTTGGGCTTTCCCCTGGAGAGGCAAAAGAAATTGCTCCAAATGCAACTGGTTTTGACATCATGGAACAAGTCAGGCCTCGCAGTGATCATTCCGGCAAGAAGGCTGGGGAATTAATTGATCTTTTCCTTTTTAACCCTCCACACTCAGCTTAGCACAAGGGAGCGAAAGGGGTATCCGTTGATTCTGTGACTACTGAGGATTTCCTGGCTTGCTACAGATGAGCTTGCTTAAGAGAGTATTCAAGCTACTGTCTTAGCAACACAGGCCACGGTCTGAGATTCCGCTGTGGCTACACTGCTCTTTATGTCTGGTTCATGAGAGAGTCAAATAGTAAGAAATCCAAGAGAGATGTGTTCTTTCTGGAGGACTGTAATTAAACAACTGAAGTTGATCAATTACTTCATCCTCATCTTTGACACCTGCACATGCGACATTCGGAATGCCTGTGCTTGCTAGCATGTACGGTGAAAACGTCTCATTCAGTGCCCCTGTGCCAGGGTAATGAAAAGTCTCAGGCTTGAGACATCAGACTCTTTTAACAAGCGTGTCCTACCTTGCTCTTCAGGTCTTCAATTGTCCTGTAGTAGGGGCTGTAGTCACGGTCAGGACCGGGTCCCTGCTTCTTATACCACTCCTTGATCTTAATCTCCAGATCGGAATTGGCATCCTCCAGGGCACGCACCTTGTCCAGGTAGGTAGCCAGGCGGTCGTTCAGGTTCTGCATCGTTTCCTTTTCACCCGCAGGGAGGATGCCATCACCACCACCAAAGCCGCACACAAAGCCACCTCCAAGGCCGCTGCCCATGCCACTGCCCAGGCCACCAGCAAGGCCACCCCCATAGCCACCTCCAAAGCCACTGCAGTAGCTCCCACCATAGCCACCACCCATGCTGCTTCCTACCCCAGAGACATACTTAGAAGAGGAGACAGAATAGCCACCAGATCCCCCGTGGAGACTTGGGGCTCTGTATGGACCACCAAGATGCACGGAGGAAACCCGTGAGGAGCCACCTCCTAATCCACCTAAGCCCCCTACGCTCTTGAGGGATGTGGATGAGGAGTACTGCCTGACGCTGGTGGCCATGGTGAAAGGCAGTGGAGGATCAAAAGCCCAAAACAGTCACCCAGCTCAGCTACGAAAGAAGAAGAGTGCTGCTAACTTCCCCTGACTCGGAGGCTCCTTTTATACCTGCAACGGGGGGCGTTGCCGCTGCAAGGTCCTTGTTTCTCTCATACATTCCCCAGGGTTTTCATCACCCTCGAGTCTGAGCCAACTTCCAGAGTCATCGTTTTTCTCCTTGATCTGTTCATGCTTTTGTCACATACTCACTCAAAATGGTTTAGCTCACCCAGGCGCCCTTTACGTCTGCTTTGTGTTCCCCGGGGAAGGGTGAGGTGCGATCAGCATAGCAGGCTCATGGCTCAAGGCCACACTTTAACATACCTTTGCAATGTTACAGTGTTACAGCAGACAGACCGACTCCACCCGGCAGTTTCGCAGAGAGCGAATCCAGCTTACATCAAGTGGAAATATTTACAAATCTGGTTGTGAAAGTTGCTGTGGGAACAAATCCTCGATTTGGATCAGACCACAAGCACAAGCCCCCTGAAGTGGTTATCCACCACACAGGTAGAGACCAGGCCACAGTGAAAACTTCTCTCAGGCTGGCAGGACAAAAATACTGAAGCTCCACAGTCTGTTCCCACTGAGAATTTCTACCAATGTTGACTCAGTCAGAGATGGGCTTGGAAAGATGTAGATGAACGTCAGTCTGGCTACGTCCACATTACAGGGTTTTTGCGCCAAAACGGCTGTTTTGATGCAAAATCCTGTGGCGCATCCACACCTCAAGCGCATTTTTGTGAAAGTAAATTTACAGTAAATCAAAAGAACAGAGGGGGTTTTGTAGTGTAGGTTTCCCTGTGGCTCAGGGGATATGGCATTTGCCTAGGATACAGAGGATGGCAGGGTCTATCTTTGTCCCAGGAGCAGCCGAACTACCACCACAGGATATAAGGGTGGTCCTGCAGGTAGTTTGGTGGGGTGGGTTCCTGTGTGGCTTAGGGGATAGGGCATTTGTGGAGGGTGGTGGGTTCTAGCCCTGCTACCAGACTGCCAACACAGGATATAAGGGATGACCAAGAGGTGGGGTGGGTTTCCTTGTGGCTCAGGGGATAGGGTGCTCTTTCTATGAGGAATAACCCCTTTTTGCCCAAGAGTTCTTGCACAAAAAGGTGTGTGTGGACAGGCAACGGGGTTTTTGCGCAAAAAGAGCCAATTGAAAAAAAGCACAGGGGCTCTGCTGGCTGTTCTGCGAATAGTAATCGGAGCTTTCTTTCGAGAGAGCATCCATGCAGACTGGATCTCTTGCACAAAAGCGCATCGCTTGTCCAATGCACTTTTGCAGTGTGGACACGCTCTTGCGCAAGATGATTTTGCGGAAGATCTCTTCCACAAAAAGCTTCTTGCGCAAGAAGCCCACAGGGTAGACGTAGGCACTGGTGCCCTTCTAAGGCAGAATCTAGTCCTCTGGGAGTGAATGTGCAACTGTGTTTTAAACTGATACAACGTTAGATTCCAGCTCTCCGGCCACATTGCATGCTGCTCCTTGGGGAGGTGAATGGACAGTTTTCCTTTGTATTTCTGTACAAATTTGCATTTCAGCTCATTTGCAATCACAAGGGACTGCTTTCCAGGCAAATTTAGCAGGGGAACTGGAGGTTATTTTAGAGAGTGGGATCGGTCCAGGGCGGTGTTTGCACTGGTACAAAGCACCTGGATGCTAAGCAGTCAGCGGGAAGCAGACAGTTTTGACAAAGCAGGGCAGGGCTGAAAGTCCATTTACTCATGAAGCAATAAAGCCATCTGAAAAGAGAGGAGCCACTCCTGTAATCTGCTATGAAGGGATTCTGGGTTGTGAGTATAACAACCGTACTGGGCAGCTAGTGGTGTGAAGAAGCAGCAGGAAAACCAGGCGAGGATCAGGGTGCTGTTTCCTTCTCTGCTCTGGTTTTACTTTGCCAGGAGGCTCTCTCCTGCCACTTGAGATAAAACAAATAACAGTGCAGGAGATGGTATCGGAGTGTTCCAACAAGAAGCACTTAGCAGATGTTATCTCCTCCCTCAGGTTAGATACAGAGGAGCAGCAAGAGAGCACATGACAGGGAACAGGGTTCTCTCCTGGGAAGGAAAATGAAATAATTACTTAGATGTTCTGGGACTCAGCAAGGAATCGCACAGTTCAGCGTAAGGGCCTGAGTGGTAGAAATGATGATGGACCAGGAACCTCTGCTTGAAATTGTTTAATTAGAAACAACTGGAGATGCCCTTTCCCTGGGGAGTGCGGTTCAGTGATACGCACAGCCTGGAGAAACGACTAGAAGACGCACCAGTTGCAAATCTCGAGCTAAAGGGCAGATCCTGAACAAAGTGGCTCAGTTACACGGAGGAAGTCTCAGGGAAAGGCAGGAATGGAAATGCCAGAGCTTTGCTCCACTTCTCAGTGCCAGGCCTCCGTGAAGAACTGCAGAGCTTGCCGGCCAGTAACATACCAAGGTGTGAGTACGGCATGTTGGTTTGGTGTCTGTCCAGGCTCCTATTTAGGGTCTGCTCATAGCAGCCCTTACACAACAGCTAAACTGTTTGCCTGATACAAACTGAGGCACACGTCTCAGCCGGCCCGTACTGTACAGCCCCGTCCCAGCTGGGCGGGCTCTGGCAGGAAATCTTCCCTCTTCTGAGAGCCACAGTTAAAAGGCACTGAAGGAAAACTTCCAAGTCGGGCAGTAAGCAAAACCATGACACGTGATTGGTGGGGGCGGCTCATTTTCATTCCCCCACACCCTCATCGACCAACCCATCCCCTGCCGTTAGGATTGGAGTGGAGGGGGAGGGAAGTCACGTGGAAATGGAGAAGGAGGCTGTGGAACCCAAGTAGTTCTGTCTCTGGACCAGGAAGGAAACCGCTATTTTAGGCCTGATGCTTTTCCCCATCCCAGATAGGCTGGGGTCTTGCAAATTGTAAGGTCAGCTCTGTTCTTATCCTTTAGGACCTAGAATACACATGTTGGCCTAAGTCTGAACATTAAGGCCAAACACCAGATACTTAAGCGTACTCCAGCTCTGTTCTTATCCTTTAGGACCCAGAATACACACCCTGGCCTCAGTCTGAACATTAAGGCCAAACACCAGATACTTAAGCGTACTTAGAACCCTATCAGCTTCATTTAGCATGGAAACTCTAAGGCTATGTGTACACTGCGAGCTTTTGTGGCAGCAAATATGCTAATGAGGGACTCATTAGCATAAGTCACGATCTCATTAGCATATTTTCTGCCCTTTCTTTTTGCGCAAGGGGGTTTTGCGCAAAAAGAAGCAGTGTAGCCACTTCCGTTTTGCACAGAAACACCCGTCTTGTGCAAGAGCCTTATGCCTCTCCGAATGTAGGGAGGTTGAGGGGGACTTCTCTAGTGGGGCAGTGGATAAGGCATAAGGCTCTTGCACAAAACAGGGTTTGTGCACAAAACCAGAAGCGGCTACACTGCTTCAACAGCAGAAAATATGCTAATGAGATCACGACTTATGCTAAGGAGTCCCTCATTAGCATATTTTCTGCCGCAAAAACTCGCAGTGTAGACGTAGCCTAACTGACTGTTTTTTAACCTTTCCTTTCTCTCCCCATCCCCTCCCTTTCTCTGCTATTTACTTGGAACTTGGACCCAGGGCCGGCTTTAGCAAGAGGGCCCCGTGCCCTAAATCCGGAAGTGTGCTGGCATGCCGGGCGTGCTGCGGGAGGGGGCCTCGGCCCCGGAGGAGCGTGGCGGCTTCTGTGCACCGCATGAGGGGTGAGTCAAGCGCAGGGATCTCCCTGCACTGCAGGAGCAGGAGTTGGCCCCTGGGTTTGGTGGGAAGGTGGGATTCTGCCCTGTAGCTGGAGATTTAAAGGGGCTGTGACTTTTTTGTGTGTGTGTGTGCTGGGTTTTTTTTTTGGTCAACACAAAATATCCTGGCTGCTGGGGCCGCGTCGAAATGGTTTGAATTGGGCCCCGCACTTCCTAAAGCCGGCCCTGCTTGGACCCCTTAAACTCCAGTCATCTGAAGAAGTGGGTTGTGCCCACGGAAGCTCATTTACATTTTTTGTTAGTCTCAAAGGTGTGTCAGGACTATTGGTTGTTTTTTAAGTGTTTTCTGTTAGGGTGTGTCTAGACTACATGGCTCCGTCGATGGAGCCATGTCGATGAGGCAGGACGACAAAGGGAAATGAAGCGATGATTTAAATTATCACCACTTCTTTTAAATCAAAACGGCCGCCGCGCTGTGCCGATCAGTTTTTTGTCGGTACAGAGCAGCAATCTAGACGGGGATCTGCTGACCCCAGAACCCTTTGTCGGCAGATCCTTTATGCCTCTTTTCACGACACACCCTTACAGACTCACTCGACTACCCCTCGGAAACGTCTTATCTTAATGCCACATCAGCCCTTTGGCTCTCAGCATGCTTCTTTTTTCTTCAAATGTTGAGGGGCTGTTTGCAGAACAGTAAGGGATAGCACCCTGAGGGTTCTTCCCCTATCAACATGCCCAGGACTTGACAAACCACAACGAAATCTACTCGCCAGCCCCGCACTGCGCGTGCGCAAGACCCTCATTGCGCATGTGCGCGCTGCCGGTGAACGAGGCAACCAGCTGAAATCTACTCGCCACGGGTGAGTAGATTCACTGATTTGTCGAGCCCTGAACATGCCCTTCAACCGTATCTCCACCCAGGATCAACATGCCATAAAGAGCCTATCTGTCCCCTGCCTACTCCTTCCCTCCCTCTCTGACAGAGAGGGGCAACTGCCTGGCTCTTGCATCTCCGTTGCCCGTTGCAACATGCGCTGAAGAATCCCTGTCACTGCAGTGGGTGCGTGTGAACGATTCTCGGTGATTCACAGCTGTGAGTTCAATGAGTTCAGTTCAATGAGTTACTCCTCCGGTTCAGTGGCCTCCTCCAAAGGGAGGGGAAATGCACAGATCGACAATTATTTTGTCTTTGCTTGGGAGATAGGTGACGTATCCGGCACCAACCAACCTCCAGATGAGAACTCCAGCTGTTCCCATTCATGTGCTGCAAATCTTTTGCCCTCGTAGTCATGGAACTGTCACTGTCAGTTACAGCGTAAGTTCTTCAGGGTGGGAAATGAGTCTTACTCTCTGCTTCTAAAGAGCAGCGCTCGTTTACCACACTTACTTCAATAATACAAATGAAGTGGTGACCAACCTTGAGTATAGGCATCTCCTTCAGCCCTCCTATACCTGCTTGTGTGACACAGCCGGACCCACTATAGAGGAGCGTTGCAGGGAAACCAGTGCTGTGTCTCCACACTGTTCCCCTTGTGACTGCGGAGCATGTCTACATGAGCAGCTCTTGCAAGGCCACCGAGAGCAGTGCATTGTGGGAGCTGTCCCACTGTGCAACTGGCCGCAGGGTGCTTTGGGAAGGGTTTGCAATGCCGCATGGTGCAGGCGGCGTCACATGATGCAGGTTTCCCGATCCCATTGCTCCATGGTCATCCTGCTACCTCAGTGTTTCTTAAACTGAGTTCCGTGGTACATGGGTGTGCTGCAAGACAGTCAGAGACCAACAGAATTCAAAATGGCTGCAGGTACTACAAAGAGCTGGATGATATATTTGTAGGCAACCCCTACAAATCCACTCTGAAGACTTGGGTGGACAGCTCAGGAGTTCAGGGGCATCCGGCCGTGTACCAATCCAGGAGGAGGAAACTGTGGCTGAGCGTGCTAAAGAGGAGAGGGACTCAGAGCCAGAGGAGGACTTGGCATCCATAGAGGCTTGCAGCCAGGAGCTGTCTTGTACCCCCGAAGAGGCGAACCACTTGCAGCTCTCGGAGGCTGCGGCTGATGCACCTGGGAAGGGGGTTAGGAAGCAGCTTGCCAGGAGTGGGAGGGTTACAGAAAGGAGGCTGAGTTCGGTGTGATGCTGCTACCAGCAAAGGGTTAGTCAGACGGCAAACAAACGTTGATGCAATCTCCTACGTCTCGGTAACCTGCCTCTCAGACCTCACCCAAAGCTTCGTGCAGCTGCTGGGCCACCCTTCTCAGAGCAAACGTAGTATTTGACCCCTGCCGTCTGACATTCCCTCCTCACTGGGCCATCACCGGGGGAGGGGGGGGACCATTGTTGCTCAAAGACAAGCCATGTATGGAACCTGCAGTCAAGTAAACGACCTGCCTTCACTTCCCTGCTCACCCTAAGCAGTGAAACATCTTCCAGGCTGAACACAGGCTGCAGTAATGTGTGGCCATTAGTAAATATTCCCCGTGCTCTTCCCAATTCACACCTGCCCAGATCACATAATGGCCAGGCGCACATGAAAACTCCTGCTCCCTGGCACCTTGCCTGGCTGCATCAAGGGATTTCCCTGTGAGTCTGCTGCAAGGGTTACGCCTGCCCAGCTGCACCAAGGGATACCCCCACCCATGCCACAGCAAGGGCTGTCCCGGCCCTTTCCCCTACCCCTCTGCACATCACCAGCAGGCCTTCAAACGGCCACATAATGGCCAGGCGCACATGAAAACTCCTGCTCCCTGGCACCTTGCCTGGCTGCATCAAGGGATTTCCCTGTGAGTCTGCTGCAAGGGTTACGCCTGCCCAGCTGCACCAAGGGATACCCCCACCCATGCCACAGCAAGGGCTGTCCCGGCCCTTTCCCCTACCCCTCTGCACATCACCAGCAGGCCTTCAAACGGCCAAAAGCTCACTCCACAGTCATTCTGCACCTGCTCAGCCCATTACTGAATTGCTCCTTGCTGCAGTCAAGGCTCCCTGGCTGTGTCTAGACTGGCAAGTTTTTCCGCAAAATCATCTGCTTTTGCGGAAAAACTTGCCAGCTGTCTACACTGGCCGCTTGAATTTCCACAAGACCACTGACAGTCTCATGTAAGATCGTCAGTGTTCTTGCAGGAATACTGTGCTGCTCCCGTTCGGGCAAAAGCCCTCTTGCGCAAATCATTTGCGCAAGAGGGCCAGTGTAGACAGCACAGTGCTGTTTTGCTCAAAAAAGCCCCGATGGCTAAAATGGCGATCGGGGCTTTTTTGTGCAAAAGCGCGTCTAGATTGGCCACCGACACTTCTCTGCAAAAATGCTTTTAACAGAAAACGTTTCCGTTAAAAGCATTTCCGGAAAATCATGCCAGTGTAGACATAGCCCCTGTGTATGGCTTCATGAGCCATGGCATTAAGGGGTAGGCAGGGTCACCAAGGATCACAATGGGCATTTCCACTTTCCCCCCATGATCTTCAGGTCTGGGAAGAAAGTCCCCACATGCACCTTTCCAGACCGTCTTGGGTTAATGTCAGTGAAACGCGCATGGCGATCCACACGTGCCTGCAGAACCATGGAGACATCCCTTGCAGTTAATGTATTCGGTGGTCTGGTGACAGAATTGGAGTGTGCGTGCCATCTATTGCCCCTCTGCAGTTTGGGAAGCCCGCCTGTGTAAAACCTCCACAATTTTCAGACACGTTGCCCGGAGTCGTGGCCTTTTGGAGCAGGATGTGCCTGATGGCCCTGCACACTTCCACCAGCATGAGTCCAACGGTTAACTTTGCCACTCCGAAATGATTGGGGACCAAGTGAAAGCTCCCTGGAATCGCCACGTACTTCTCCACCTGCAGAGTGGCTCTCGCTTGCGTGTCCTTGCACTGCACATAGTCCCCGGAAACAGGATTTCTTAGAATCATAGAATACTAGGGCTGGAAGAGACCTCAGGAGTCATCGAGTCCAGCCCCCTGCCCAAGGCAGGACCAATCCCAACTCAATCATCCCAGCCAGGGCTTTGTCAAGCTGGGACTTAAAAACCTCTAGGGATGGAGATTTCACCCCCTCCCCAGGGACCCCATCCCAGCGCTTCCCCACCCGCCTAGGGAAATCGTTTTTCCTACTATACCACCTAGACGCTCGCACAATGATGGGATCCGACCGCTTGGTGCCGTTCCACTGTGGGCAGCACCTCTGTGAACGCCACAAGAAATTGTGAGTCGTACAGACACTGCTCAGACTCCTCCTCGTCACTTTGCAGCTTCCATCCCTAGACGCTTTTAAGTCTCAGCTTGAAAAGCCCTGGCCGGGTTGATTGAGTTGGGATTGGTCCTGCCTAGAGCAGGGGGCTGGACTTGATGACCTTCTGAGGTCTGTTCCAGCTCTATGGTTCTATGATTCGGGAGTGACTCGACGGCCACACGTGATGGGTTCATGAGACCTACCAGCATTTTAGTCAACAGCTGGGGATCCGTCCCCACCCGGCGAGGAGGCAGAGTGCGCAGCACAGAAGCCATTGAAAGATGGCACCAAAGGCAGGTGGAAGCACAAGGGTTCCTTGTGCAAAGTGATGCACGACGGGGCATTGGGACAGGACCCAGCCTGCCCCCATACCACCCCCTCCCTAGGGAACCCATCCCAGTGCTTCCCCACCCGCCTAGGGAAATAGTTTTTCCTAGTTCTTCACCCGAAAGTTTACCACCAACCTGTGGCCGAAGAGGAAGAGGTGCTTTGGGACAGCTACCCAGACTGCACCTCTCCGAAAGGCGCTGCAAGTGGCACAAGTGTGGTCGCTGGCAGCGGACAGTGTGGCCACTCAACAGCGTTGTCGCGGCTGTACTCCATGAGCAACACCGTAACTGCCAGCACTTTCCATCTGCCAGGGTAGACACGGCCAAAGAATCAGAACGTAGCCTCAATGGGGCCAGCAGCCTGGAGTCCTGGTGTGTTTATTTGTGGCATTTGTCTAGCAGAATATAGTCTGGGGGATTTCCCACCTCATTTTTCAGCGTCAATTTTCCACACTTGCAGAGAGCCCTCGCCGCTGAAATTCACCCCCACTGCAAAACAACCGAGCCTAGGACGACCACCCGGCTTAGAGCGAGGTTGAAGGACCTGACACTCCACTCGCTACGGGGTTTGGAAACTCTCCGGATCTGATCAGCTGGCTGGGTTTGCCCATGCAATCTGACCCTGACCAAGGCTGTTTGGGGCTACAGGGCACTGCAGTGCATAAGCTCCTGCTCGGGGGAGAATCTTACTTGCTTCTGATCTAGACTGTAGAAAGTTCGCCCAGGAACCTCCAGGCAGCGTCAGGCAAGTCCAGCTCACGCAATCTGCGGTCTCTGACTGGAGCCAGCATCAGCTGCTCATGAGGCAGTGGGTTATTAGGGACTAACCTGCCCACTGGGGAAGTTTCATCCTAACACCTTTCAGGTCGAGGGTGCTCATGCCCTGAAACAGATGGGTTCAGATCCCTTTCAAAAATCAGTGTTTTCTAATGCTTGGCACTATAATGCTGGGTTTTCTCGTTAATGTCCAGTCCTTTTGGAATCCCGCTAATTTCTTGGCCTCGGGGATAGTGAGTGGCATTGACTTCCACGGGCTAGTTGTGCCTTGTGTGGTAAAACACTTATACTAGATGTCGGTGGTACATAAACACACTCCAAGGCACCTTGAGTTAGTGTCCCAGGGCTGGGAACGGACAGGAAAGAGCATTTACCCGCTGAACCCCAAGCTCCTTCCAACCTGGCTCAAGCCTTTATCAGCATCTCACCTTCTGTGCTACTGTCCCCTGTGCATCACTGAGGTGCCTCTGCCTTGCCCTGCCCACAGGAATTCCTGTAGCTAGACGTTATGAGCCCTCCCGTGTTACAACAATCATTTTGCCTCCTGTTAAGGTGCGTTTGGGAACCTGTTTTATGGTGCCAGTGTCACGATCCCAACAACATCAGCCCGACATGCTCCAGTGGTTCCCACTCGTCCTTCGAGCAACTCTCGTTGCAGTTCCTCTCCGCATTTTGGGAACGCTCATCCCCTCGCTCCACTGGCTGGCTGCCCTCTCTGCACTCCCCAGCGTGCCTTGCATAATGGCCACACACCGGGAATTCCTCCCCATGGGTGCAGAGACTCTCCCCTCCCTGCTCTCTGGGCCGTGCCCTGCAGGGCTTCTGGCTGCAGTTCCCAGCCTCACCTCAGCGCGCTACTGATTATTTGCAAGACTTCAAAAGGGGAAACGAGGCCACGCTGCCAGACAGGGGCCTGCGACGGTGCAATTAGCCTCTCGGAGCCTGACTCACTCTCCGGGTTAGCTCAGCGCCTGGTTTCTGCTGCAGCACAGCCCATGGCTTCGGCCCCATCGCGGTCACTGTGGCTTGGCCTGTGGCGGCAGCGTCTCTGGAATCAGCTCCGGCTTTCTCTCCACACCTGGGCTCACCGTTGCAGGAAACAGCCCGTGGCCGGGTGAGAGGAATTTCAGTGCTGCTATCCTGGGCCAGTGTGGCGCACACACGGGTCCGTCTGGCCCAGCAGCCCAGAAAAGTCCAGAGCTCCATGTAGTCCAGTGTCCTGCCCCAGACTAATGTTCTACCTCATCCAGGGGGCTGTCTCCGTCATACCCCAGATGTGGAAACCATTTTCATATTTAGCTAGAAGCCATCTGGTATAACAAAAACCATTTCAGCTTTCTGCTTCTGCACGTCTACCAGAGTGAACTTTCTGTTACCCCAGGACAGAGGCCTGCAAGACGAGCTATTGGACTGTGTTAATTGAGCTGATTAAGGGAGCCTTACTCCCTAGTACCTGCCCACCATCCTTGCTGATAAGGCTTCGCTTTTCTAAGTTTAATTGATGATTTCTGTAATTGGATATCCTGACTCAGATTTGTTTGGTTAAGGGTATAAAGATACTAGGTTTGATTGTATTAGCCAGCCTTACTGGGCCCGGCTCTGCTGGGGTCAGGTTTGGCTCACTTTGCCTTATTGATCAATAAAGCTGTTTGTTAGCTGCCAAAACAGAGGGAAGCCTTTGCTTCAACACAGAGAAAGCCATGATACCTCCCGCTCCCTGTGCATCTCAGGGTGTCATCTATACCAGTGTTTCTCAACCTTTTTTTTATAAAGTACCCCTTTAAAAAAATTATACGGACACGCAGTACCTACAGTTTTCAGACACACCATTTTTTTCTACCATTGCCACACATTTGTTTAAACAACTTAATCGTAGCCGGGCGGGCAATGAAACTTTGGGGTGTAAAAGGTACAAAAATAATAAAACGCTGTAAACCTTAAAACAAAAAGTCAGTTTTCTCCACATTTCAGTTGTTGACGTACCCCCCAGACTTCTCTCGAGTACCCCTAAGGGTGCTTGTACCACTGGTTAAGAAACACTGATCTATACCACAGAGGGGCTTTCTGACCAATGGGTTGGGGTCTCAGACTCAATTTACCTTAGAGCCAGTGCCAGTCCTCCAATCCCCCTAGCACGCCAGTGGGCACCCCGTCCTGGCAGGGCTCTGGGGAGGGGGATCTGTGCATTCCCTCCCTCCCCACACATCCCCTGGCCCTACCTGCTGCCCCCAGACCATTTTAAACCCAGCGGTGGCCTCTGATGCCACCACCATAGAGCACTGGGGCTAGAGCGGCATCCAACTCCTCTCTCCACACAGCTGCTGCCACGTCCCTGTGGCCCGGGGAAGGTGTGTGCAGAGCCTCCCGCAAATGTAAGCCATGACACTGTTCATTCATGTTGTGAAACTGCCCAGATATCAGTGATGCCAACTCTACTGCTTTGATCACAAGCCTCCTGATAATTGAGGCTTTTTTTTCCCCCTGGAAAGCCCCAGCCATGTTGCTGGAATTAAGCCAGATCTAGGAACTTCACTGCCTGATGCCTCATGCACCTCTGTCAACTGTGATTGCTCTGACTTAGTAGGTTATGCTTGGTTGCAGGTGTAGGGTATTAGAAGAGCATCTCAGCTGCCTCGTTCTTTTCTTTTTTTTTTTTTTAGGAAGACTTTAGGTCCCAAGGTTTATCGAGAAAAGGTAGAAAACGGGCCCTGAGTTCAGCCAAAGACCTCAAACCCCAGAGGCCAAATAAAAAGATCCCCAAGTGTATTGTATCTGAGTTCAGGAAGCCATGCTCTTTTGGGGGGTGAGGGAGCGCTTGAGTTTTGAGCTCTTGGGGCTAGCAATACAGGACATGCATGTTGATTGAGTCTCCCCCTGTGTCCAGGAGCCCGGACAGAGCCCAGGATCTTACAAAAGACCGGAAACGGAGTTGTCACCTTCACACCCCTAGGTCCTCACGCTGGGGAGCACCTCCTCCTCCTTTCCCCCGCAACCCCACACGTATAGCCGCACCTTTGCACTGGGATCCCGGCTGCCCCCGCCGGGGGTAACCAAAAGCAAAACCCCCCAGCCCCGCTCCACTGGCTGCAGAAGCCCCTCAGCTAGTGTGGTTCTCTGGCCTGTGCAGTTTACGTTGCAGTGGGAGGAGCCAGCACAGTCTCCCGGACCAAGCGGCACCCTCCGCAGCTGGGAGCGTGTGGCCAGTGGGGGCTTGGATGCTGCTGGAAGCCGTGAGCTTGGGTGAGTCCCCAAGCTGGTAGTCACGTGGGCCCAATTCAATAACTTTTTCAACATATTTCACCAGCTGGATGGGGCTGGAGATGGCCCGTGGGCCAGGACTTTGAGAGCCCTGCATAGGCGGTGGCCAGCCTACGTCCAAGGCTTGCACATTAAGGATCTTTGTGATTTGATCCTACTTCCTGCCAGCGCACATGGCCCTCTGAGTCCAACACACTAAGGGCCCTTGGGTGCAGCGTTGCAAAGACCCACCGAAGTTGGGGGGCTCAGCTGGGAGCCACCTCAACTTGCCAGCCAGGGAAATGCTAGGGAGAGGGGCGTGGCCTGAGCACAACCTCTCAAAGGCCGCTAGGCATGGACCTCCGGGCCAGAGGGGGAGCCAGAGCTGGGAATTCTCACAGGGTGGACCCAGTCACAGCACTGACGGATCGAATTCCCGCTCCGCCAGATTCAAAGCTGCAACCTGGGCTCAGCTCCCCTGCTCTGGGCTCCAGGGAAGGCGCCTCCAGCTCTCCAGGGAAAGCTGCTCCATTGGGTGCAAAATGCTTGAATGCTCATGGGAGCCCCCGGCAGAGCGGCACAGAAGTGGTGTCTGGGCCCATAACCCCCAGCTCACAGTGTCAAAAGCATCCTCTGCGCTGCAGGGGTCTGGCCCTTTAATTTTTTTTTTTTTTATTTTTTTTAAGGGGGATTGTGGAATCTCCATCACTGGAGATACTGAAGAGCAGGTTGGACAGACACCTGTCAGGGATGGTCTAGGTGGTGCTGGGTCCTGCCGTGAGGGCAGGGGACTGGACTCGATGACCTCTCGAGGTCCCTTCCAGTTCTAGGGTGCTATGATTCTAGCCCATCGAGTCATTTTCCTGCTCACTCTGGCCCCAGGGGTCGCTGAGTTTTACACCGAGTGGAAGCGTCCCACCAGGAGGCCAAGAGCCAGCTGTCCCGGGCTTGGAGCAGTCACTAAGTAGAGGGAAAACCTCCAGTCAGGTCCCTGCTCTGGACCAGGCAGAGGGGGGATTTGAACCTGGGGACGCTAACCGATGGGCCAGCAGCAATAAGGGGGGCAGCTCCACCATCCCCGCTTCAGCTGTGGGCAAAGAGGGGCCGGAGCTGGCAAGCACTAGGCCCCTGCAGGCAAGAGAGCAGGGAAATGCCTTGGTGGAGGACCCTGCCAGGTGCAAACCCTCAGCAGCATCAGGCCTGGGGCAGCTGTGCATGCAGCCCCACCCTGGAAACAGGTGCCTAGAGGGTTAGGTGGTTGTTGGGCAGGAGGCTGAGGATCAGACCTAGACACCTGCCCCCCCTTGGAGTTCTAGCCTTGCCTGTCCGTCCGGGCTTGGCTGACCCTTGAAAGGAGCTGGGCCCAGCCTCACCTGTGCCTGTTTTGCTGTCTCCCAGCTGAGGCTCAGGGATTATAAAAGCAAGACACTGCCCAGGTAGGGAAGCTGATGCAGGGGATAGGGGTGGGAGAAGAGCATGGCAGGGCTCCTGTGGCGAGCCCGGGCGTGGGGGTCCCAGCTGGCTGCCCTGTGAGAGGGCTGGGAAAAGGCTGCTGAGAGCAGGGAGCCTCGGGGCGGGGAAGAGATGTGAGGGGCTTGGGGGGCGCCCCACAGACAGCCTGCCCGGCAGAACCCTCGGGAATGGGAACGGGCCATGGCAGAAGCCCCGGCCTTAGGGAGAAGGGGACGGTTGACAGGGAGCTTGTGTTACCACGTCTCCCGGGGAAGGAATGAAACTGGCATCCGTCCCCCCCGGGGCGGCAGGGACAGGCCAGCCCACATGGGCTCGGAGCCTTACACGGGCTAAGTCCTGCAAAGCGTGGCTCTCCCTGGGAGGCTGGTGTTGCGCAGGTAGCAGCTCTGCTCTGGGACTAGCCCAGGGCAGGGGGGTGCACAAAGCTGAGTGGAGCCACAGAGGTCGGATTCTACTGCCCTGTGGGAGCTGAGCCCCTCTGAAACCAGGCCACGTTCCTGGCTCTGAGTAGAGAAAGGGCAGGCAGCTTAGCTGCTGGGAGGGTGGGGAGATGCCCAGCGCCCTTTCTGGGCAAAGGAAGAGCAGCACCGAGAGAGTCTTTCCCCAGGGGCTCTGGCCCAGCTCAGGCGCCGCGGTGGGAGGAGGGCTGCCCACTGCCTGCAGCTCCCCCCGGAGACTTTTCCCGGCATGACAGAACGCCCCTTTCTAAAACTCCCCGGTTCTGCTCTCCCAGGCGGCTTTCCATGGTCCCCGGGAGGTGGTGCCGATTCCCAGAGACTCCGGGCCCGACCCCACAGCGCTGGCAGCCCTAGGTGGGAGACGGGCCCTAGCTGGAGTTCACCGCCTGTTCCGTCTCGGCCAGCAGAGGGTCAGCTGATAAAATGAACGTGGAACCGTCTGGTGGCCAGAGAGGCACCAGCTGTCCCACCTGAGCCTGCTTGGGTAGGGACCGGTGAGCAGCCTTGATCGGTGCTGAGCTCTGTGGCAGCCCGTTGGAAAACGCGCCCCCAGGCACGGCGTGCGTCCTCCCCAGGGGTGGGAGTCCCCAAGGGCTGAGGTGCACCAGTGTCGTAAAGCCTCGTTTTTCCCTCTTCCCACCGGGAATCTCCTGGGACCTTCCACCAATGGGACCCTGACGTTCCTGTTGGCACCTGAAAGCCCCCGGCCTCTCTGGGCAGGGCCTGGCTGCAGGTCGTGCCGAGCCCTCCCTGAAATGTGACTCGTGGAACCCCACGTGGCCCCCTGGCTGCGGGTGGCCGAGCCTGACGTCCTCCCTGGCCCACAGGTGACGCTGGGAGTAGCACTTTGGATGCCTGTCGTGTGCATCTCACAGGACTCAGCATGTGCCTGGCACCCTGCTGCCTAGTCAGCCTCTGTCCTCCCTCAGGGCTTTCTGGTCCTCTCAGCGGGACTCCTGTTCTCGAGCGCGACACTTGTCCCCTCCCCACTATAACATCCAAGGGTCCGGGGAGGGCACTCAGGAGCCACCCCACCAGCTGGGAACAGAGCCGTTCCTGGGAGACCGGGTAAGGGAGGGGTTTCTTTTCCTGGACCAGCTTCTGGTGGCGCACAGGCGAGGTTCAGAGATTAAAGAAGAGCTCGGTGCAGCTCAAATGCTGATTTCTTCCTCCAGCAGAAGTTGGTCCAAGAAAAGCTGTTCCCTCCCACGCCAAGTCTCTCTCCTGTCCCGGGAGGACACAGCTCCGGTGCTGCGGCTCAGGGCAGGCAAGCCGACTTCTGCAGAGATTCTTGTTGGGACCTGCTGCTGGAGACCAAGTGTCTAGGGAGGCAGGATTGTGCCTGAATTCTGTGGGAGTAAACATGGGCTAATTGGGCATCTGCTGGT